TGTTTAATCTATAAATCATAAGTATACATACTTTAACATTTATATTGCTCTTTCTGATACCATTCTGAGCATAAATATTCGCATTCTTTGTTCCAATGTCTTTAAAGAAACAATTCCGTTCTTCTCCTACTTCCTGTCTACACTAGATTATGAATTTAAAACAAAAATTTAATTTAAATTTTAAAAATTATAATAGTATGAATATATATGTTTGGGGCTCTATAGGAGAATCAGTTTACAATAAATTTACATAAAAAATCGACCTCCTAATTTTAATAAAGCAATATATATATATATATATATATATATATATATATATATATATATATATATATATATATATATAAGGTGCGATTGGTAAATCATCGCTATTTTTCATTTTTTAGTTTGGCGCATGCGCGTTGTTGTTTTATATTTTGACGACTGTACACTATAGTAGAAAAAAAAGGCCCATAATGCATTTCACCAAGCCAGAAATTGGAAACAGCATGCTGTACAGCTTGGCATTCGCGCCGGCACCTCCAATAGGAACATAGTATTTCGTTTCAGTCTGAAGACAGTGCAGAGGATTTGAAAAGAGTTGGATGATATATCCAGTCAACATCATGGTGTTTGGAGTGATCACTAGTGATGGCGACATTATGCCGCCATTCATCTTCCCATACGGCCTTAGACACAACACGGAAGCATATATCAAGTGCCTTGAGGAGGTAGTGCTGCCCCGTGTCATGAGGGTGGCAACAAGTCTCTTCACCATGTCACACAAACAGAAGAACACAGTCATGGCTGTCAGACAATTTCTGTGACCAAATCACCCCTTACATCTGGCTACCTAACTTCCCAGACTGCAACCCCCTTGATTATTATGTTTAGGGCACAGTTAAGCAAGAGACAAATTAAACTCCCTGTCACACCAAAATTAAACTGAAAGGAAGGATTATGGCAGCATTCACCAAATTAAACAAGGTGACCATCCAGAAGAGTTGCAGGAGATTCCGATGTTGTCGGAGGGGAAAAATACATATGTTTTTCTATTTATTTTGTTTTTATTGAAATTAAGTTGGAATAAACGTTAAGATCAAATGCTACTCTGAACTCTGTGATAACTTGGATACATTTGAAGCAAGAACATGGGCAAGGAAGGATGAAATCTTGCAAAAGACAATACATACACAATCAGATTATAATACATAAACACGCAGACGTATTTAGATATATAAACACGCAAAAAAGCGACGAGACAGGAAATATCTCACCGACCCTTAAAAAAAAGACAACATATATACACAATGAAAGGTACACACAAGTGACCATACACACAGACATCGACAAAGACACGTACATACACACACATACATTGACAAAGATACGCCGATACACCTACCAAGAAATATTCAAGTTTGAAAGTGTTATTAAACGACTTCTAACCACTTATTAAAATATAACTTATACGGGCAAATATACATAGATAAAAATGGTAGAATAGATAAAATTCAACATGAGCAGAACAGAAAAACAAGCATTAGGGGAAAAAGGACATTAAAACGTACAGATATGGACAGAAAAATAGATATATACGCATATGTTTTGGTTTTTCATTTTTTTTTAATTCGTAAAACATTATGTAAAAGTATTCGACTCTCCCGTCGAATTCGACGTATGAGGGTCAAGTATATCGACGTATGAAGGTCAAGCATATCTCATGTGCTGGTGTCATGTCGCGCTTTATTTAGAACCGACAGCCCGACACCAGCACATGAGATTTTATAATAGTTGTGAAGGCTTTGTGCAGAACCATACAATACAGACACCTGGTGCACAACGTGCAGGTTTTGAATTCAAAGTTGTCCTTCTCTTAGACCAGTTGCTATACAAGGCTATAGAACCCAATTAACTTTATCATATTATATATATATATATATATATATATATATATATATATATATATATATATATATATATACGTATGTTTGTAGGCATATGAGTGTATGCGTATTAGTGTGTGTTTATGTGTGCGTGTGTGCTTGTATGTGCACCTAGGAGTTTATGTGTCCGTACTACGATCATGCACAAACGATAAAACCCCGTGAATTAATAGTTGGTATGAAGATTCACAAGATATCCATTTGTGACATGATGTCGGTGTGGGGTCATTATAAAACACGGCACGCGACTTTTTTTTTTCTTGCCAAATATACTGCGGTATTCTATTTACTATAAATTAGGAAAATATTTTCAAAACCTCATAATACTAGCGCGGATTAAGTCAGATTCGATCTCATAGATCATCTGAGGATGCTGCACATAGTAATTAGTTTGTGAACTGTATTGTGACCAAATATTCACGTTCTTAAATTGGTTCGTAAAGTTGAGTGGGGAAAGATGATCGTAAGCAGCTGGAGAATTATGATGCTAATTTCAAAGCAAACTGAAGACCAACAAAGATTAACGTCTTAACTTTCTTGAAGGGATAAATATGTTTCAAGTGCATGAATGTGCT